AATTAACTTTTCCTGGGACCAATCCAAACTGCACTACAGAAATGTCTTTTTGCATGGTTATCTACAGCAGCATGGGCACTTCATAGTCCAGGGATAGTAAGCCCAATATCCCACACAATTCTGTTGGTTAAATTTGCTAGTATTCATCACTGTCAAACACACATTAAAGATGCTGGAAAGAAAAGCCAACCTTTGCTGGCTTCTTTTCCTCCTCCGAGTCTGAATCATCGCTGGAGTCCTCACTGCTGCTCTCTGCCATCTTGGCTGCAGGAACTGCTTTTGCTTTGGGCACAGCTGATGCTTTAACTGCAAAAAAGGGACAGTATACATTGATGGCAAGTTAATTCACAACTTTCTAGTACTTACATCCTGCACTAGTGGGTGTTAGGGCAAAAGGATACATTAAGGTAATTAAACCATGACTGAAGTTTGTAAAACTGACTTTGTTTCTTGAGCAGTGTATGGCAGACTGCTCTAAAATGGGTAAGCAAAAAGATAAAACCATTCCAGGCTTTATCTTTGTCACACACAAATTTAAGTCCAGATTTCTATCACCAAAGAGGACATCCCAAAAAGAAAGAGCACCCCTCAAACTGAGATAATATTAGCTGGGTCTGCACACCTTCCAGCTTAAAGAAACCTGCTGAACAAGTACTGACTGGTGCTTGCAAAGAGAAACACTGCAATGTCGTGTTAAGGTTCCAGACACCCAAATGTGTTTTGGCCAAATCCACTTCCTGGTTACTGACTGCTTTTCAATAATGTGGAGCAAAACAAAGAGTTTTGTCTTATATTATATTTACAAATGTCCTTATCAAATAAAAATAAGATCTAAATTCAAATTCAGCTTTAGGATGGCCCAAGTTGACGACAAATTTTTCTGTGTTTCTCCCTTTCCTCATTTATTCTTTCCCTCCTGTAAACCTACTGCTAGACACACACAATCTTGTGTACAGTGATTAATGAAAGATACAAGAACAGTTTCAGATAAAACAGAAAAATCTAGCTCACCATATAGCAAAGTGCAGCACAGGGATATATTTTTTGGTAGCACTAGTACATGAGCTCTAAAGAAAAAAGGGCAGCAACCTCACGCAAGCAGCAGGTGAGTATGGATACCTAGGATTTCTCTGGAATGGCTAAAACCTTCCATGGGACACAAACTGCTGTGCCTAAATTTTAACAAGATACAGAGATCAGCCTTAACTAAAATGAACCTATCTTCCATGTCATGGGTAAAAGACCTGCCAAAACCGAAATCAGTTAATACAAACCTAATCCCTGACAGCTGCTGAAAGACCTTAAAAGAGCAACTGAAGTTGAGCTCTAAACGCACGTGAGAAGCCAATGGCAAACATAATCCGGGTGTGCACCAGGGCGGCGCACAAACCTACCACGTTTCTTGGCCGGGGGCTTCTCATCCTCTTCGCTGGAGCTGTCACTGCTGCTGGCGGACGGCTTCCTCTTCGCCTGGGCGCCGTTCGGGACCAGCTTTCCCTTCTTGGCCGCCGGAGACCTGCGGGCAGAAGGGCTGAGCGGGGTCCCGCGGGGCGCGGGCCGGGCGGAGGGACACCGCACCCCGCGGGGACTTACCGCAGCCAGTAGGTGAAGATGTCCAGGAGGGAGGCCGCGTTGGGGTCCTGTTCCTTCTAAAGCGAGAGAGGCCACACTCAGTCAGTCAGTCGGTCGGTCGGTCGGTCGGTCGGTGGGTCAGTCGGTCGGTGGGTCGGTCGGTCCCCCCGCCCACCCGCCCGTCCCGTCCCGTCCCGTCCCGTCCCGTCCCGTCCCGCTCCGCTCCGCTCCCCGCTCACCGCTGCCGCCTCCCTGGCGAGGGCGCGCGCGGCGCCCTGGCAGCCGCTCTCGCGCAGGAACGCGAGCACGAGGGGGAACAGGTCGCTGGGCACCGCGCGCCGCTCCGCCATCATGCCGCGCCGACACGTGCCGCGCGCGCACGCGCCCGCGCTTGCGAGCGTGCGTGCGTGCGTGCGTGCGTGCGTACGCGCGCCTACGTGACCCCGCCCCTACCGCTGCCGAGCTGCCCGCGCGGCGCCGCTCCGGGGCGCTGCCCGGCGTGAGGCGGCGGGCACGCTCCGTGCTGCTGCTGCTGCCGCCTGTGGGGCAGCGGCGGGACAGGGGCTGGGAGCCCGGGAGTGCCCACTCCGCTCTGGATTCGACTCTTAGACTTAAGTCCGCTTAAGACTCACCAGCTTACTCGTACTTGTAATCTGTTGTAAATGGCTGAAAGGAGACCGCTGGGGGAATGCTGGAGAGCAGGAGCTGGGCTGCTCTGGGGCGGAGAGCAGGCTGGGAGCTGCGGGCAGGCTCGGTGCCGGCAGAGCCCTCAGCAGCGCGGCGCAGCCCCGCAGGGCTGCGGGCGGAGCTCGGGGCCGCTGCCGGCACTCGCCGCTGCTCTCAGCCTGAACCCATACAGGAACGTACTGAATACTCCTGCAAAATCCCTACGGGAACAGAGAGAGCTGGTGAAAGTAACACCATAATCCTAAAGCGGCAGCCTGTGAGAGACAGAAAATGAATTTGAGACAAGGTTGTCTAGAATATAGGCTTGAGGGGCTTCAAGGTGGGAGATAAGGTATGAAATAGGTATAGCTCAAATAAGTGCTGAAGACCCGGACCTGACCTTAAATGGAGCTTCTGGACCTATGGAAAAGGGTGGATGTGGAAGCCCCAGATGAGGCTGAGCAGGACAAGCTTAGTGTGTTAGTGTGCTCACAACACTGATGAGGATGAGGATGAGATTTAATTCACCTGTTGTATATTTAAGTAGCTTTAGTTACTTTTACAGGAAAGTTTTTGTTGTTTTTTTTTTTTTTTCTGTAATACTGCAGATTTGCTCTGCTGGATGTAGCTCTCTATTCCTGCCTTTGTGATGAAGGCACTTTTCTTCTTTTCCTTCAATAGATGGTACTATAAAGCTTGCTGAGGGCCAAGGAAGAAGAGAGTCCTGTACTTAAAGTCTAGATTTAGGGCTGCCAGGCTCAAAAAAACAGTGGTAGGTAGGCAGTATTTTGCTTTTTATATTTCCCCTACCTAGCTCTCTGCACTTAACTATTTCCAAATACTGCTGTTCTGTGCTCTGTGGGTGTTCTGTGCCTTGGTGCCCAATGAATATGCACAACTGGACGGGCTCTGTTCTCAGCAAATTGTACCTGTTCCTGGTGTTTCTGGAAGGACCCATGTTTGCACTCATGGGGAAACAGAAGTCAGCTCTTGTGGTATTTTGTACTGTAAGATTCTGTAATTTTGTACAGATGCTGTAGCCTGTGTGGCAGAAAAGGGGTGTTGTGCGGAGGCTTGGTTAGATATGTTTACTTGTTTTTGAGATTCCCTGCCCCTTTTATGTGTGGAATAACACGAGGCTGTGTTGCAGAAAGGAAACTGTTTGCAGGAACTAATAGTTTTTGTAGTTTCCCCTCTACAGTGACCTACAGCTGCAAGCTTCATCTGCAAAGCTCAGCAAACTTTTGTGTTTTTGCCTGCGTTGGAAAGGAAAAGATGCAGCTTTTGCTGGTAAACTGTTGTTACTTTAAGCCCTGCTGTGTGAAGTAACTGTGTGAATTTCCCTGGCTGTGAGGAGCCGGGAAAATGACTGACTGTGTTTGCTTTACTGGCTCACTTTGCTTCTCCTCTGGTTAATAAGTATCTCCCTCTCCTGCCTGGCCTTTGCCAGCTAGGTCTGTTCCCTGTGCTGTGTAGCCGCTTCTCTTCAAAGGTGTGTGGCTCTCTGGGTGTGTTCCCCTATGCTGTGCCTGCAGCTGTCCAGATCACCTGGCAGGGAAAGCCATTTTGTCCTTGTATTCCCCAAGACAGTAAAATAATGTGGAACAGTCATAAAGTCATCCATTTGTTTAAATAGTTCTTAATATATACTTGCTGTTGCATAATAGTAAAATAATTTGCTTAAAGATTCTCGTTTCCAACTAGTTAACTTTTGTCTTTCATATAAATCCCAAGTTGGGATTCTTCTCCAGTGTCTGTGTGTTCTTTAGTGTATAATTTTGGGATGATTCAGAGGGGAAAGTTATGGTTTCTTCTTTGCAAACCTGGAATTACTCATAAAGCTTTATCATCAGGAAGTGCTTTTAGTCCTAGTGCTTTCCTATTGAGAGAACACCTGGGTTTTGGAAGACAGGTAGTGGCATGCAGTTTGTAAGCTTAAAATAGGTTTTCAGTAAAGAAAGATCTGGAGGTAACAAGAGAGTTTGACTAACTTCTGAGATAGAGTTTATTAGTGGAAAACAGTTGGTTCCTTTCTGCTTGTAATCACCTCTGTTCTAAAACTAGTGGTGACGTTAAGCTGTTTACAGAATGTCGAATGACTGCCTTGACTGGGAAGCCAGATTGTAAGGAGTCTGCTTTTGGTGTGAAGTGCATCAATGAAAGATCTCACTGGTTTTTCAAAGTGGTTTTTCAAAGTTTGCAAAGGAATAGGCTGAATAATTTAGGCAGAATCTGTTGCTTTGTCTCCAGTGACAAGATTAGTAAATTGAGTCCTACTCTCTGAACAATAACGTTGTCCTTCTGGTGCTTATTGTCTCTGTACTCAAACATGAGCACAGTCTTACAGAAACTGGTAAATTTCATTTGGAAGACAGCATCTTCTAGCTGAAAACACAGAACATCGAGCTACTTCATTCTTAGGGAGCAGCTTGGCTTCTCCCTAGGAGTTTTCCTTCCTCATAGAAGACATGACAAAACCTAAGTTAGGGATGAGTATAAAACAGGTATCGCTTATTCTTCTCCTCAACTGTTGTTCCCGGTTTCTTGAGACCACTGTATTACTGTAACACAACTTTCCTCGCTGTAGCGCTGTTTCCTCGGCCACCTACGGAAAGTGTGATAGGAGCCAGCTGGAACAGGCAGCTTCCCTCCTTGGGGCAGAGTCCCGCCGAGTACCGGAAAGGCGACGTGCGGCCGGGCAGGGGCAGCCCGTGCCGGGCTCTGCAGGGGGCGCCGCGGGCGGGAGGCGGGGCCGGGAGGAGCCCGGTGCCGTGTCCTGGGCTGTGCTGGGGGCGAGGGAGCGGCTCCGGGGGATGCACCGCCTTGCTGCGCCGCCGATGTGAGGGAAGGGGAGCGCCAGCCCCGGACCATGGCGGCCCCCGGTAGGTGCCGCGGCTGCCGTCCCGGGAGCCGCGGGGAAACGGCGGGGCTTCTCCGCGCGGTTGTGCTGCGGCGGGCCGCGGCTGCCCGGAGCTGCCCCGCGGCACGGTGCCGGCAAGCGGAGCGTAGCGGAGCCCTGCCCGCTGCCCGCGCGGGGCGGTGCCGCTGCGCGGCTCTGCGCGCCCCTGGCGCTCCGCTGCCGGAGAAAGGGAAGGCGGTCCGCTCTCCGGGTTCAGGGAGCCCCGGCGCTCCTTCGCTCGTAGCGCTTTCTAGCTCGCCTTGCTTCGCTTGTCTGCAGTTCAGGGCAGCTGCTGGCAGAGCTTTCCTGCGTCTTAAGTGAACTTCGGCTTGGCAGATCAACGACTTCTGAGGGAGGGTTTCTGTAGAGTATTTTGCTCGTGTCCGCCTGTACGACTTGTGTGCTTTTCTGTGATGTTTTATAGAGAAGTCAGTTTTTCCTAAATATGGCTTTATTCTTCAGCACCACTTCCCTTTGGGGGTATACTTGGTGCCCCTTGCCACAATGGCACAGGATCACAAGCTAAGCTAGTTTGCCGTAATTGAAAGTGTTTTAGCTGACGTGTGTGCAGGTAAGGCTACCTAGACTAAGAGCTGCAGACTCAAGGGGAGAGGAGTTTAGCCTGTATTGTGTAAATCTTGCTAATGCCCAATTTGCAAGTTCCTCTCTTTGCAGGGAAGCGTATGGGTTTTATCTAAAAAAGGAAAAAAAACGTGCCATTCTCAGGGTGTGAAGTAACATTTGTGTTTCATTGACGCGTATCTCCTTGTGAGGTAAAAATAAGTTAAACGGAGGTCTCGGGAGACTTGTGGGCAAAACTACTTTTCTCCTTATAAACAGAAGGTGATTTCACAGAGACCCTTAAAAAAAGAACAACTTTAGATTAATGTATCATAATGCAAATCTCTCGTTCCTCTCTGTGAAGTTAAGTTTGCAGAAATGTTGTCTGCTTTGGTTCTGCTGTTTCCTCTTACTTGTTTGCAGCATTTTATTTAAAGTGAAGATTTTATATTCCAGTTGAGGTAAGAAGTCTCATGTGATCACTATTACTGTGCATTTCATGTATGCAGAGTATGCATTTATTTCATCATACATCACTTAAATACACACACTTCACATACTGAAATGTGGAATGTGCTGAGGACTTATTTTAATGGCCCACCAGCAGTTTCTATGACTTGCTGGAAGTGCTCTCTCTTATAAGAATTTGATTATTAAGATGCTTTGAGTTGCATTTCCTTTATGCCATAAACAATTATCTTTAATGAAGAGTCAATTCCCATCTGTCAAGGATTGTTATTTTGAACAGCATTATTTCTGTATCCTCCATACACATGAATCACAAAACACACTGGAACAGGTTACATAATGCCTTTCTTATGTAGTCAGAGATGGATTTTCTTGTAGCAGATGAAGATAAATTGTTTGCCACTGCATATGATAAGTTAGAGTGAAGGATTTAGTCTGTTTTTTTACCTGGTCTGTGGGCAATGAGAAGTCATTATCTACTTATGAGAGAGAGGTGTGTGAAAGATGACATAGAAAAGTTGTGTATTGCTACAGCCCTGAATATTCTTTATGCGATCCATAAATACAATGGAAAACTTTATGATCTATAAATTGAAAAAGAGTCAAACCTTTTGGCTTATGGAATGAAACGATAGATAATAACAGTCGATAATGTAAGATGTAGTCTTACCCAGAGCTGATATGCCAGCTTCTCACAGTATTGTTTAGCTATTTCAGTGGTAATCAGAACCTTATGATACAGCCATAAACCACTATTGCATGTTTAGAGTGAGCCTAATGATTATCACCTCACTACGTGCAGACATAGTATGGAGATGTGCCTGATTTATTTGCTTTTCAGAGAGAGACTGTGAAGACATGACATGGTCATGCATACTTCTATATGCTTGCCATGAGCGTATATGATTTTTACTGAATTGTTTCAGCCTCTTCCATTCTATGAGCGATTTGTGTGCTGGGGAAAGCTTTGTATCATGCCATTTGTGCTGTTTGTGGGGCTTACACTTCAATGATGGGTCTTAGGCATGTCTATGGTACTAGTTTGTAATCTCACCAGTCTGTTATCGTTGCTGTGTAGTAAAGTGTGCAGCTAAACACTGGAGAGGCAGTTACAGCTGGAAAGTATTCCAAAGGTTATGGTTTAGCACTGCAAACTGCAACAGAACTGCACCTTTATGATTTTCTATGAAGCAAATGAACATACCCTGCAATATTGTTAATAGTGCTGACATTTTGTAAACAGAAGCAAAAGTATTTTTTATACTCTAAACTTAACAATACCTTGTTACTGGATTCCTAAAATTTAAACTTTAAATTTAAAATTTAAGATCACACTTGAGAGTGTGAAAGATAGACTTGTACTAGCCAACTGTTTTTCTTCATCTTGATATTGTATATAGTGTTCATATATTTCTTCCTTTAATTGAAGACTTTTCCAAAACCAGCCTGTAAAAAGCATTGTCAAACCATCTAAGAGCAGGGTTTAAGGAAATGTTCGGTGTTCACCAAAGGAGTTCCCTATATACCCACTATAGGCAGAGTATACATTATATTTTGTACTGTGCTCTGTGAGTTTTTCTGATGTTTGAAAAATTGTGAAAAACCTCCCTGAAATGTTATTTATTCTTTTTACACTGTTCCCTGAGGACTGAGCAGTAGTTAGTGCTGCAAAGGCAGCTATTTGGTTAGATAAATAATAGCAGGATCCAGGAAGGAGAGTCCTGTGTCATTCTTCTTTTAAAGGAGAATGTTGCAATTGAGGTTATTTCTAGATTTTTGGGGTTTTTTAAAAACAGTCCCAATGCTGACTTCAGCTTATTTAGCTCTGCAAGACCCACTTCCAGTATTTTTGCTTATGAACATGGAGCGTTACTTTGGCTCTACAAGTGGAGTCAGTAATTTTATTTCTCAGTTCTCATTTTAGGAGCGTTGTTCCTCAGTTTATTGTGTACATGTAAAAGGAGCTGAGGGAAGAAGGCCTGAGGAGAGCCGGTACAGCTCTGTTGAGGGGAATGGTGTTCTTGTAGAGCAGTGCTAGCTAGGAAATCAATACCTTTCCTAAACACCAGAGGAAGTTCTTGCCTGCTGGATGCAAAGGTTGCACTGTTCTGACAGGGAATTTGCAATTAGTCTGTCCAGTTTGCATCCTTTATCTACATAGCAGAGAAGGGAGGGATTCTTGGATACTTAGTGCCCCTGCAGTGCAAGGTATGTTTAAAATCAATGGCTCTTCCACCTTGTCTCTGAGCACAGCTTACTTTCATTGAAAGCCTGGAGAAGGGCATGTTGACTCACAAGTATAGTTGTGGAAGCTGTGTGCTTCCTAAAAGTGAATGACAGGATTTTCCAGAGACTGGAGGTGGGGCTGGGTAGGACTTTAAGAGCTTTGGGCACACCTCAGAGTAATTTTGTGGTCTCCCCATCTGTTGAAGTCAGGCTCAGCTGGCCATGGTGCAATGTGTGGGCTCTGTTCTCAGCGAAGAGTTGTGCTTTCCTTTCCCGCTGTACTGCATGTAAATCAACCCAGGGCAGTGGAAGCAGAAGGAAGCAGAAGTCTGTGGTACATCTGCCTTTCTAGAATAAAACTTGAATTCTGCTTGGTTTTCATGTTTTTGCTCATGTAATTCTGTTGTCTTTGCCAGGTGGTGTTCAGCCACCATCAGTGATATTTTGGCAATAGTGGTGTGCTCACTGGTGTGAAAGCCATCTTTTTTCTCAGCAGTTCTGCACTCTTAGGTTAAAGGTCCTGAGGTTTTGAGTCCCAAGGACTCAGTTTGCTGGATCCTCTCCTTTGGGAATGCCATCTCCTACAAGCCTCCATCTGTGGTTCAGGAGCTGTATTCACTCACAAACATGCAGCTGTCCTAGTGAATATGTCAGCACTGCACTGTCCATGTTCTCCATAGCTAGGTATCATCCTTGCACTGCCAGGGATGTCCTTATTTATGCAGGTAACGCTATTGATTGAGCACTGAGCACATCCCCATTCTCCTCAATTGTATCACGTCTGCTGGACTTCTATTTATAGCTGCTAATTGTATAGTTCAGGGCTGAGGTCCCTCAGCCTAGACATTGTTTCGGCCTTAATTTTGTGATGAAGTTTCTGGGGAAGGTGATAGAATAAAGTCTTTGGAGGCTGTGCAATTTTGGTTGAATTTTTCTAAGGTGATTGCAAAACTGCCAGTTCTGGTAAATTCACTCTGCAGATCCTCTTTTGCTGCCAAATTTTAGGCATTGTTCTCTGCTTTAATTGGAAAAAATTGCCTTTGCTTGCATCATGATGGAGATGGGTTGAAAATGCTGACATTTCTAAAGAGTCAGACTGGAATCAGAAGACAATTTGTTAACAAGATTTTAAATTCTCAGCTCTGAAATTTACCATGGACCTGAGCTGTAAACCTCAATTTTGAGTAAACTGCTTCACAGGTAAATAGAAAAATTAGATTTAGACTTAAATGCTTCCTTGAGATTGGTGAGAGAGCACTGCATCATGTCACACTGGTTCAATTTGCAATCTACTATTAGTAAGCTTTTTAAAGTGCTTTTGTGCCAGAGCACTGAAATACATGAGTCTGTAGGTAGAAGCTGTCTGTAGAGAATTATGGAAGAAGTCAATTTTGGTGAGCGTATTGTGGGTTGTCTTCTGGCCACCACTATTGTATTAGTTCTTTCCCTCTGAAGAGAGTGTTTGTCATTCCAAAAATTGTTGGGAAAGCTTTTGATAACAGTTTTGAGGAAGGACTCTAACACAGCCTTGTGGAATGTCTGAAGCCTGAGTGACAGAGTGGCTGTGGTGCAAGCACTGAGGCTGATGTTCCCTTAGTTGCACGCATACTTTTCAGGCAGTTTGCTTTCTGCTGCAATGAGAGCAAATATCTAACACCACAGGGGCCATAGTGACTTCCTGTAAGCATTCTGTGACCTCATTTGTTATTTTAGGTGTGCTGTTTGGTGTCTGTTCCACTTGGGCATGTAATGATCTGCAGTTGTGTTGGAGAGACCATATAATTGCCTAAAATGATTTTAAATTTTCATGTGAGAGTGAACTCCTCTTTTCAAGTTAGTTTGTTTTGAAGGTCTGGTTTTTGTGGCTTTTTTTTTTTCCTTATCAGAATGCTTTAAATCTGTAAATCTCTGTGTAGTGTTTCACTTGAAACGACATAGGAAACGCTCTCCTTCTTAGGAAGAGCATTTTAGGCTTTCTCATTTTTAAGAATGAAAAATTACTTAAATTTGGTGGAGTAGATGCAAGTAGGAGTTCATTCACCCTTAGAATTTCTTTGTGGCTGTGAACACCTCACTTCGGATAGAACTAGTGTTCTTTTGAAATGCTTCGTAGTTTCTGACAGGAATTAGAGACGATGCTGGGGTTTTTTGTTCCAAAGCTGTGGGTGATTTCAAGGTTTGAATTTAATCCTTTTTCTTGTGATCGTCTTGCACCTGTACAGGAGCCCCTGGAGACTATGACGTGCTGATTGTGTATGCAAGTGACGCCATTGAATGGTGTCAGTACCTCCAGAATCTCTTCACTTGGCAAGTTCGAAAGCATCGGATTCTGACCTACCAGCTGGAAGACAACTCTGCCATCTCCCACCAGGAGCTGGACCTGTTCAGCAGAAGTCGGAGTATCATCCTTTTGCTTTCTGCTGAGCTGGTGCAGAGTTTTTACATTCCTCACATCCTGCAGAGCCTTCAGGAGGCTTTATGGCCCCCGTGCAAAGTAGTCAAGCTGTTTTGTGGTGTTACGGACTGTGATGATTATTTGACTTTTTTCAAGGACTGGTCTCAGTGGCAAGAACTCACAAATGATGATGAGCCTGATGCTTACCTTGCAGCTGTTGAGAAGGCTATTTCAGAAGGTAAGACCATAGCTAGGAGCTGTGCTTTCTAGTCAGAGGAGGGAGAGACCTGATACTGTTTATTCTTCATTTTACACTGATAATGTGCTTTACTTAAAGAGCAAACTAAAGCAAATTGTCTAACCCTTGTAAACAAAAATTTTTCTATGCCTGGTTGGTTGGTCCCTAACTCAGGAGAAATTACCAGCAACTCTCAGAGAACTTCTGAATTTGAGGTTGTCTTGGATGACTGCTTTTGAAGGAAATAGAAAATGAAAACTTTCTATATTTAAAATTCTGCCTGTAAATATTGTACTCTGCAGTTTATTGACCCAAATCAATGTAAAATTGTCTTTATTTTAAGGAAAAGAAATATCTTTTTCTTCAGACTTGTTTCTGTCATACCAGAAACAAAATAAAGTCTAATATGTATTATCTAGTACTGGGCCTAAAATCAAAGATGTAACCATACTGGCAACAGATCACTTTGTTACCGATGATGAAGAGGCAGTGATTAATTAAAGAATTACACTGATGGCCTTAAAAATAACCCAACCAGTCTGAAAGAGATCCCCTTTTAACTAGTGCAGAGGACTTACTAGCATAGAAGTATTAAGAGTTGGAGACTACACAAGCGCAATGCACTGAGTTTTAATTGATTCCAAAACTTCCTAAACTCTAGAAGAGTGTGTAGAATTCCTTTCTCATAGTTTCTGTTGAAATGAAGGTGGAGAGCTCTGGGCAGTCCTGCTGGTCTGGGTATTTTCATGACATTGCCATAGGTAGGGTTATAGTGTTCTTTGTCAGCCTCAGCAAGACTGGAATCCTGCAGTTGCATCTTGGCTTAAGATTTATCTCTATTCCATGGCATAAGTGAGGCAGTGTGTCTAGTGGTGTGTGTATAAAGGCCCTGGAGTCTGACTTCACACAGCTGGGTCTAAAGTCCTTTTCCATCTGTGCTGCAAGTTAGCATGTGCTGAAACAAGCTGTGCTTTGGCTTTATGTAGGTGGTGTTGTGAAAGGGAGTTTGGGCTTTGGATTTTTATTGCTGTTTCTACATAACAAAAAAAAATTAGCTTGTTTTCTGTTTTCTCACTTTAGTAAGCATACATTGATCTCAAACTGATTTCAGCGTATCTAGAAAATACTTGCCTGAGAGAAAAAATGTGATTAAACTAATTTGCTGTGGAGTCTGCTGTAACATGTTCCAGATAATTTGGTATACAAAGATTCAGAATTTCTGGACTTCTGTTATGGCAGTCATAGCTGATGTGGCTGTCACCTGCATGCCACGTCAAATTTTTGGTTTGTGCACATCAGACCAGTTGCAAAGGTGAGCCATCTGCTATCACTTTGATTCTTGTGAAGGAAGAACCTATTTAAGATGGGCTGCTTTCATGGCCCAAGTATTTGGATTAATGTATCAGATCCTACTTCTGTGTGGGGAAAAAATAACTCTGCGACATCTTCTATTGTGTGATTCTATACAAGTTCTGTGAATGGCCTCAAATGCAAATGTTCTGATGTTTCCTCTGAAGATAGCCCCAGGTGTACATAGTTCCTTTTTTGGGTGAAACTGTGAAAACTTTCTTCTTGACTGGTAAAAAAATCTGCTGTATGATTCGGTTGCAGCATGAGTAACTTAAAATGTTTGTGACAGCAGACCTCTCCCACAGAGAAACATAGCCTCTGCTCTGGTCTTAGTTGTTTGAATTTTTCCTGATTAAGGCAGCCCTTAATTCTTACAGCACTTAGCAGAGAAAGTTAATGACTATATTTGAAATTGTTTAGGTCTGGGTGTCTTCCTCTGGAAAGTACTTCTCTTCACATGCACTCACCTCTACTTCTAACAGCAGTGTCAAAACTAGGCCTGATGCTAAAATGACTCAGCTTCCAAACTGCTGAATCCTGAGCTAGTGAGGCATGGTACAGGGGTACAGGATGCAGTCAGGGCAAATTCTTCTCCAGAGGCTGGACATTGGCACTGTGCAGGCTGTGCTGTTGCCTCTAGCACAGCTGTTGGCTGTGGTTTGTTTAGGGCATCATGGGACTATGACACCCCTAGACATCACATGCTGAAACCTATTTTAATTTTTATTACTTTAGTATGAATTCAGAAATGAGGAAACATTCAGTTAGGCTTGTTGACAACTGTGTGCTGATGCTGACTCTTGCTCTCTTGTAGATGTGGTATTTTTATTTCTAAAGTTTCTCAATTCTGGCAAACTACAGAGCACATGAAGGTTTGCATTTGCAGGTACTCCTGTTATCTGTGGGGAAGTTTTTGAGACTATGCAATAACTGTGCTAAGGGGGTGGAAATCACAAAATTATTATGGCTGGAAAAGATCCTCAAGATGGAGTCCAGCTACTAACTTAACACTGCTACGTGTACCACTAAACCATGTCCTTCATTACCACATCTACATGCTTTTTTAACAGTTCCAGGGATGATGATCCCACCACTTGCCTGGGCAGCCTGTTCTGATGTTCAACCACCCTTTCAGTGAAGAAATTTTTCATAGTATCCAATCTAACCCTCCCCTGAAGCAACTTGAAGCTCTTTGATCTTGTCCCATTGCATGTTACCTGAGAGAAGAGATTATCCGTCCTCCTCTCTGGTAGTTGTAGAAAGCAGTAAGTTCCCACTGAGTCTCCTTTTCTCTAGATTAAACAATCTTGCTCAGGATGTCTCTGTACACACCAGCTCGGGTCCAGCAGGGTATAGTCACTAGCCAGGGTGCAGTGAGCAGCTGCTGCTTAACCCCTCTTGCCTGGCCCGTCATAGCTGTGCTGTGTGCACTGAGCAGCTGGGAGTCTGAGCCACAGTCAGAGTCAGTGACCTTTCTCTTCCTCATGTGTTCTCAAAGCTCACTTGACATTTCAATTGCTCCAGTGTATTTGTCCCTAACTACATTGTTTTGAAACATTTCAAATTTCCCACTGTAAAAGCTGATGTTTTCAAAGCATTTACTAATTCATCAGTGGCTTTGAGCTTTCTGTATCCAAGCCATCTCTTGTGGGTAAAAACATGGGGAAATCCACATCTGCCTGAGATGGCTGAGGTGATAACTGAATATGACGGCAGTGGTGAACAAGTGCAGCCTTGGCTGAACAGAGCTCTTGTGTACTGGAAGAGACAAGAATGAAAGATGAGTACCAACAAACAATTTATGAAATAAGAGGGTCAGAAGTTGGTGTAAGGAATAATATGGTTAAGATGGAGGGCCTTGGGCAGTTAGAAGGAATATGAGAACTTCTTTTGATCTTTGTAGGTCAGCAAGAGCTGAAATGTTACTCTACCTACTGAGGGGCTCATTAAGAGATGTCAGAGACTAAGGCAGTAAGCTTTTTTGAGAGGGAAATGGCATAAGAAGAACCACATCAGCTGTATAATTGTTCCTCTGGTTCATGTCAAGGAATTGAATTAAATTCTTGGCTTTCTTCTGTTGCATTGATGAAACTTGAGAGCATATCATTCAGGTTGGAAGGGACTGCTTGATATAATCTAAGCTTGTTCTGCCCAAGACTATTTCCAGTTGGGTTTTGAATGTCTCTGCAGGTGGAGACTGCAGGACTTCACAGCCTCTCTGAGCAACCTGTTCCAATGTTTGACTACCCTTGAGAGTAACAAAATATTTTCTTGTGTTCAGATGGAACTTCATGCATTTTAGTTTGTGCACATTGCCTCTTTTCCTGTCAGTGGGCACTATGGAAAACAGTCTAGCTCGTTTTTCATTTTCTCCTCCCTTGTCCATATAAGATTCCCCTGAGTTGTCTTTTTTCCAGGCTGATGACTTCCAGCTCTTTCAGCCTCTCCTCTTATGAAAGTTGCTGTAGTTCCTTAATCATCTTTATGGTCCAGTGCTGGACTCAAGCTGTAAAGATAAACCTTGGAGAAAGCTACTCGGAATTTAAGGTCACGTTGGATAGATGTTGTCAATGATTTCTCAAACCAGATAGGGGAAGTTGTAGTATATGTGAGATTCTCTACAGCTTCATGTTTCTGTAATTATTTGATTATTTGTTTAGTTTTGCTAATAGTTGCCATTTAGGGCTAGAGACCTAAATTCACAATGTATTTTTAAGTTTGGTATGAACTGTCATGCGTTTACTTCTCCAGTCTCAGTGCTCTGTGGAGGAATATGTTCAGAGTAGTTCTATCTCAGCTAATTACATGCAACATTGACTTTTGCCAGCTTATTGAAGTGGCCTTAAAGACGTGAGGTGGTACCATGCAGCTCTCTCTCCCTCTTCTTTGAAGAGGTAAAATTAAATGAATTCTTTAAACTATGTTTTCCTCTTTTCTATCTTGTTTAAATATAAGATGTGGTTCTTTGACCCTGCTCATTGAAGAGGAATGGGTGAGCTATTAGTCAGCCCTCTGGATGCAAATGAGCCTGCTTTCTGATATGGGAGCTCAGCAATCTGGCTGGTTCTCACTGTCTGTCAAGAAGAGGAAACTGTGACTCTTGCACAGGAGTTCAGGTTGAGGGAACTTGCTGGTTGCATGCCTCTCCATGCATGGGTATAACTGACTGATGCTGGAAAGCCAGAGACTTCAGAGAGCTGGTTAAAGCAATTGATGAAATCTTAACTAAGCTCCCAAGTGATACTGAGAGTTCCCTGACAGAAATGTATGGATGTTCTTATCCATCTGTAGCATATGGGGTCAAGTAGTTAAAATAATCTTCCCAGCTGCAGGATTGATTAATTGTTTGTCATCAAGGCATTTCATAAAGTCCCAGTTTATTTACGTAAAAAGCAACACTTCATGGGTTTTCTTTCATGGCATCATAAAATTCAAGCAGTGCTATTATAGGTGCATACCTTTCTAAATAGAGACAGTGAAATGATAGCCCAGAAATAATAAAGGACAGAAACTGTTGTGGTTAAGAACTTCAGACTATTATAGTCTTTATGCACCTTGTAAATACTAATCATTTTTCTCTGTGGCTTGTGGTTCTGACAATCTCCTCACAGGTTGCTTTATGGTCTAAGACTAATTCTAGGTATCTGCTA